AGAAGTTGTACCTTGTAGCATGTATATCGGGATTCAGACAATAACTCTGAAAGATATTACAGTGACCTTTATTGAAGACATACACTCATGGACAAAACTTAAAGAAGTTGTACTTTGTAGCATGTATATCGGGATTCAGACAATAACTCTGAAAGATATTACAGTGACCTTTATTGGAAATACACGAGATAACTAAGTCTAAACAAATTTTCATCTATATCTTTAAAAATATATATGACCGGGGACATCAAAAAGACTTTCCACTTCCTTAAGTTTTGTCCATGAGTGTATACGTATTTTAAGAAGAACCTCTCTCTTTAATTGAGCATCAGAACAATGGATTATGTGTATTACCCTAGTAAATACTTTACTATTGGTGATAAGGACTAAGCCACAATACCGGTTTTGGAAAATTCGGGTAAAAAGCCAACAACCTATAAACTTAAATGGAATGGTACCTCTCTTTATATACATGACTATCATCCTTCCCGCAATTTTATATTGTATATTAACAGTTCGGCAATTGAATTAGAAGACTGATGTTTCTTAGAGTAAGAAATAAATGGCAATAACCAAACAACTGATGTCCTTTATTTCTTTATTTCGACTTGAAGCGCTATGTCCCCCTAGGGACACTTGCACTTTAAACATAAACAAAAATTTTGAAAGAAAAGAAAGAAAGATATTTAAATATGTACAGAATTAGTATGCATATATTAGTACATGTATATATTAGTATATAGTTAGATTAAAAGATTATATATATATTTCAACACAATTGATATATGTACAAAGGGTTGGTATGCAAATTTAGTTAAATGAAATCAAATTGTAAAGTATTGTGTGTATTCGAGAAAAGCAATTTACAGATTTAAAAAAAAAGGTTTTATGAAATATTTTTGAATGAAAATATGCTAGATATTAAAGAATTATTCAATTAAAACAATGTCTGAATGAGTTAAACCTTTCTCTCTAATCTATCCACACTAAATAAACAAATGTATATCCCCCTTATTCGCCAGATTTGACTCCCTTCGATTATGTTATGTTCCCAAAACTGAAGATCACACTGAAAAGACGTATTTTTGAGGAGGTTGAAGACATTCAAAGCTCTGTAACTTCGACTATTCGGACCAGAGGAGTTGTTGAAGAAATCTTTTGAGTCTTTGTTGAACACCGTACCACTCTGTATCAATGAAAAAAGATCTTACTTCGAATAAAACGTTGTAACTATTTAAAAGATATATATTTTTTTTTAAATATGATCCTATTATTTAATTGTCGGACTGTGAATGTATATTTACACATAATATTTGCTTACAACTTTTACAAAAAAGAAATTATTATGAAAATAGAGCAATCCATACTTAAATCATTAGATAGTAAAAAGACATATATTGGATTTAATAAAATATTTATTTGTTAATATTTCGGTTGGCTAAGCGTCGTATATAACGCCGAGCTTATTCAAAATAATCTCTGATATAACACTATGCGGCGCTGAATTTGTGTATACAAAAATGTAATGCCTCGATAAAGGTTGGCGTTTAGCCAGCAAAAATATTGGCCAATAAATCTTTTATTCAATTTAATATATGTCTTTTTTACTATTGAAATATTTTTCGTAAAGATAGAGGCTGCCTGGCCGGCATTCATATTTATATAAAAAATAGACACTTCGGCCAGTTGGAGTTTTTATTTTCTCAACGTTTCGACAAAAATCTTTTGTCTTCGTCAGGAGAAGTAAATAAAAATAAAGCATTTGGTAAGGCGTTAAAAATTGTTATGAGGTTTGCAAGGGCGTTCCCATGTGATATTTCGAATTTAGTACAACATCTAAAGCGCGAGTCAAAAACAAATATTAAACTCGTCAAAGACTATACAAAGGAAATATTTTTGTAGTTTTGATAAGCATATACCACCATTATCTCCCTCAAATACAGATTCCACTCAAGTATAGATGTAAACCTGTGTGTTTCTACCTGTTCTCACAGATAACTTTACTGATTCGATGTAAATATTTCGTTAAGATAGACAGGTGATAGCACCGCCTCGTGTCTATCTTCTACATATCATATCTCCTTGTTCTCACAGCTTGCTTGCTATCCTCCGCTCTTGTCTATCCTTCTTTCTTGTCTATCCTTCGAGCTATCGGCTTTAGGAAAAACCCAAGAATTTGTTTCTGATGTAATTTGGTGAGGGAATCCTTCAGAACTTTAGGAAAGTGGATGTCTATCATTCTTTTTTTTTTTTTACGTTTCAAAACTCTTTATTCAGACAATACTATTAACTACATAGGATTGTTCACTTAGTAGAGTTTACATAAGAAAATAACAATGACTATATACACATAGTAAAGTCAGTTTTACATGAGTCAAAGTTTCAGTTTAGCAAGTAAAGATTAATATAGAGATATTGAGATATTTACACCATATATATACATTAGACATGAGCCTCTAAAAGTGAGTCAAAAACTCCATGTTGTAGTCATAGTTAAAATCGATGCTTATCCAGAATTTGTACATTATTCTATTTGTACATCATTCTATATTTGTACATTCTATCATTCTTATATGTGGAGAGTTCCATACATATCGAAAACATAGATTATAAGCAGAAATGTTAGTACTTATCCCTAGAAATAAACATAGCACCAGGCTATGATATAAGTAAACCCATATTTACATTTCAATACAACAAAAACAGCTTTATTAGGACATATCTGTCCTGTAAGGATTCGCCATACATATCATTTTCATGGGTAAAAGGAAAAAAAGAAACATATTTCAATACAATAATTTTTTTTTCTGTGAAAAATAGACACTTCAGCCAGTTATAGTTTTTTTTTATTTTCTCAACGTTTCAACAAAAATATTTTATCTTTGTTAGGAGACTGCATCAGTAAGAACATCCTTGCAACCTCAGAACAATTTTTAACGCCTTCCCAAATGCTTTATTTTTTATTTATTTCTCCTGACGAAGACAAAATATATTTTTTTGAAACGTTGATAAAATAAAAATAAAAAAAAACTTTAACTGGCCGAGTTTATATTTTTTACATAAATATGAATGCCGGCCAGGCAACTTCTATCTTCAGAATAATTCCTTGTATCAACACTTAGTAAAAATATCAGGCTTACAGGGAAAAGTTTCTTTCCAAAAACCTTTTTATTCTCTATCTTTCAGGCACGAACGCTCTTGTACAGGAAAAAACATGGTATAATGATTGATAAAGATCAAGATCCCAAATTCCTATCCTATATAGCGCCAATACCACCATTATTACAATCTGGACAACCCTACCTCTGACATTACAGTAACATATCTACTAAATCCGAAAGGTTGACCATAGAATCCACAATATCTAAAAGTAAAAACAGTATCAACAGAAGAAAATAGAAATTCTGGAACAGTTCGATCATATAGATAATCTTGTAAAGCCATAGTGAATCCCATCTCAATACCCCATGTTCACTTTAATCGTCGTTTCCAAGGTGACTAACGTGGCAACGGCACCCATTTTCCAATGAAGAGCAAAACCGATATCTCCACATTGCTGTGCTGTGATAGAGATGTGCTGAGACATCTGAGGCTCTTCATTGGACACGATAACAACAACAGCCTGTTAAATAACAAGAGCTCTAAACCTAGCGGTTTAAGTTAATAAAAGAAAGATATATATTGTGTGACAATATTCAATCATTATCCATGTTTTCTCCTGTAGAAGGGTGTTCGTGCCTTAAAACTAGATAATAAAAAGGTTTTTGAAAATATAATTTTCCCTAGAGGCCTGATATTTTAAATCCATATTTACATATTAAAAATATTCTTCTAAAATACCCATTCCAAGAGTCTAACATCAGTATCACTATAAAAGGAAGTTCCAAAAATGCAATATAACAGCGGTAAAGTAGATTAAACTGGCGAAACCGCTGGGAGGGTTCACCACTGATGATCCAGGCCCTCCCATTAATTTTTCCATTGCAGTAAGGGCAGTAGAAATTGTTTAATTTGAAAAAGAATCATACGCCTTTAAAATAGTTTCGAATATTAAAAATATGTAGGTGACAACAGCAGTGAAATAGAAACCAGAATCAAGGAGTGTGTAACATGCTTTGTATTTATTTATGTAAAATATTCAATTATTCTTTGATTTTTCTTTATAGTTATGTAGTCGGCAACACTGTACTCTTCTTTTGGTAATTCTGCATGAGTTTGTTTTGTTTATATATTTTGATTAACCTTGTTGCAATTGTAACGTTACAAGGAGTATAAATAAACTTATTGATAAAACTTAAGGAAGTGGAAGACAGATGCGATTTTTTTCACACTTGGTTATCTCGTGTGTCTTCAATAAAAGCCACTGTAATATCTTCCAGAGGTATTGTCTGAATCTCGATATACATGCTAAAAAGTAAAACTTCCTCAAGTTTTGTCCATGAGTGTGTCTTCAATAAAGGCCACAATGTATCAATTATCTTTCAGAGTTTTTTGTATGAAGCATGATATACATGATAAAAAGTAAAACTTCCTTAAGTTTTGTCCATGAGTGTATAATATCAAAAACAAAGATCCCAAATCCCAGCCAATACCAGCCATAATTACAATCTGGACAACCCTACCTCTGACATTATAGTAATATATCTACTCAATCCGAAAGGTTGACCATAGAATCCACAACATCTAAAGGTAAAAACAGTAGAAACAGGAGAATAGAAATTCCGGTACAGTTCGATTATATAATCTTGTGAAGCCATAGTGAATCACAATACACCACGTTCAGTTTAATCGCCTTTTTGCCCGTTGAAGAGCGATAGGTATCGGTTTAAGTTAATAAAATAAAATTTGTAAAACGACATTTGAAAATTATCCCGCATTAGTTTATTTTCAATGAAAAATCAAAATTAATTTCAAGGTGAAATTACGATTATTTCTAACCTTAAAGATGAGGTATGGAACGATGAATTGTGAAAAGTAATAATAAACGGAAAAATAAAAGTGTCCAGGTATGGGAACCCTAGTGGACATGGCATCTGTCCGGTAAGCGGAACACTGTGGGTTCGTTTCCCATCCCTGGACACTTTTATTTTTCCGTTTATCATTACTCTTCACAATACATCCTTCCATACCTCATCTTTAAGGTTAGAAATAATCGTTATTTCTCTTTTAAATAAATTTTGATTTTTCATTGAAAAGAAACAAACGCGGGTTAATTTTTAAATGTCGTTTTACAATCACAAGCCGCATTATATTATATTGTAAAATAAACTTTATTCTCAAATATTAAGATTGACCTCTTAACTGTTTACCCATCTGCATCTGAGAGTTAAACACACACCTCTTTCTCTATGGTTGATTCAGTTTCTATTACAATTAGCTATTTTTTACCAGTTTCTTAGAAGACAATCGATATTTGACTATACAAGAGATTAACTTTATCTTTTAAATCTGACACCAAATTGTCTTTGTGAGTTCAAATTCTTCATAGTGACATTCAAATGAAGAATATTTCTAACTCGGGAACTAAGTGGGTGGTGATCGGCTGCCCAAAAAAAAAAACGATCCCCTCCTTTCTAATTGATCACGGTGATCAATGGCATCATGTGCCTGCCGCCTGGTGACAAAAAAGTTCCCGGTAGTTTATCACTAAGCCTGTGCCAGAACCACAAAGGCCACAAATTCACCCCCTCTTCTTTTCATGCAGCAAATTTTCCTCTCGATATCCATCAAATGTCAACGTGGTGTCATCTCTTTGTCACGCTCTTTATTTGACTTTCAGGATGGTGGATGTGCCCACGAATTATTTCGTTGGTTAGATTTTTACAGAATCTTTTTAATCTATATACTTATAGTCACTATGTGTGATAGTAAATTTAGCAAGGAATTTCCACACTACATGTTTCACTGTCTGGCTTTGGAGGAGGAGAGAGTAATTCTTCGCCAGAATATTGCTTATGAAGACAATTCACCATATGTTTTATTGGCAGAAGTAGTGAAAATCAGGACCAATTCATTGGCTTTTTACAAATTCTGGAGAACAGCACAGTCAAAAGGCGTAACACAGAAGATGGACCCAATTTGAGGAAAAAGATCGATTTTATTCTCCACTTTCTATAGATAAATGTTATGTTTAGTTCTGTTTACCTGTATGGGACGAGTATCCCTAATAAAGGCTTTGTTTTTGTATTTTTAGAGTCTCTTTCGTAAATGAAGACTTTCTCTATGGGAAATGGTATCGATTTTTTTGCCCTATAAACTCTGGAGATTATTCTTGTCAGTTGGTTCCTTAAATGATTTGAAAAAAAAAGCTTTCAAGATTTCTGAAAAGGCTTTGATAGATTGTTAACTAATCTTTCTGAAATTAAGACTTTCAGGATGAAAACTGATGTAAACAATAATGCTCTAAAAACTATGTGAAGATCCGTAAATATCAGTCAGTTTCTTAGGGAAATTGAAACGCTCTTCCTGAGGATGTATTGGAAGATGGTAAATGCATCTTTCTGAAAATGAAGATTTTCTGGATGGAAACTGGTGTAAATGCTAATGCTCTAAAAACTGAAGATTCATTACTGTCAGTTGGTTCCTTAGAGAAATTGAAAGACTTTTAAGATTCCAGAAAATGTAAAGATGGTTAATAAATCTTTGTGAAAATGAAGACTTTCTCTCTGGATAGGAACTGGTGTGAAATCTAATGCTCTAAAAACTTTGAAGATCCGTTACTGTCAGTTGGTTTCATGAAAAATTTGAAAGACTCTTAGGATTCCTGAGAATGTATAGGAAGATGGTAAATGGATATTTCTGAAAATGAAGATTTTCTCTCTGAGTGTGAACTTGTAGAAATATTAATGCTCTAAAAACTTTGAATATTTGTTACAGAGAGAGTTGGTTTCTTAGAGAAATTGGAAGGTTCTTAGAATTCCCGAGAACGGTTTGAAATATTGCTAATAGATCTTTTTGAAAATGAGGACTTTCTGGATTAAAAATGCCGCGGATGCTAGTGTGCTCAGCAAACTACGGTAATCATATCGGTAGGTTTATTATAGAAATCTCTTGGTGTTTTGAATCCCTGGTAGTTTAGGGAATGTAAACATCGTTAGACAGTATCTTTATAATAAAGACTTTCTGGATGTGTGTGGACTGATGCAAATGACAATGCTTTACTTGATTAGAATTTTGAAGATCGTTTTTAGTCCATTGAGAAATCGATTTTTCCTTAGCATTTCTGAGAGATAGAATAAATTTAAAGAAAATCAAAGAATTGTTATACGATATACTCGTATAAATATAATTGTTTTACCTTTATTGATGAAGGCAAGAAGGTAAAGAAAAGAGAAGATATACAGGTTTTATTCTAAGATTAGTTACGATTTTTGAAATTTCAAATCAGAGAATATAAAATAATAGAATATTGATGACAACAAAATTGATAACAATTTAAGTGAATATTTGAGATTTTCAAATAATCGAGAAATTCAGTTTAAGAACGACATTCAAATCAATATACAAAAGTCTTAAAATAGATTAACGCATTAATTATTAATATTAAAAATTGAGAAATATTCAAAGATATTTATTTATATGATAAGGAGAGAGAATCTTTGGGAATATTTACCTTTTTCTGCTCTCAAAAGTACATTTTTTTCATTATAAATAGTATATACACTCATGTGTGGAGAGACAAAACTTTTTTCTTTAATTATCCCATGGGTAAGATTACACCAGGTCATGAGAGAGAAGGTTGAAAGCAATAATGTTTTCTACTATAGTTTTGGGGTTGTTGTATAGGTCTTAGCTCTAATGCAGTCTAGGATATGTTCTGGAGTGGAGTTGGAGCATTTTGAGCCGACAACTTTTTCTCCATCAATGATCATAGTGGGTCTAGTATGTCTGGTCTTTAATTTTGAAATTTTTGTGGCTTCGTTTCTAGAAAGCTGTGATGATATTGAATTTCCAGGTCTTGTTCCTTCATACCAGTGGTGGGTCATACTATTGATCTATTCTTTGGATATATCTCTATTCTGTTTGTTTCCATCTATATTATCTATGTTTTCAGAAGGTAGGATAGCTGCTGACTTTGCTAAGCCATCGTAAATTTCATTCCCCCTAATGCCTACATGCGATGGGATCCACTGAAATGTCAATCTGCTGTCATAGTGAAGTGAGTTGATATTTTTGGCAATTTCTCTCAAAATTTGTAAGTTACTTGTATAGCAGTTTTCTATGAACTTTAGGGCTGATAATGAATCTGATAGAAAGACAAAGTGGTGAGGAGGTGCTTTATCCAAATGCTCAAGAGCAAGGTTGATTGCATGTAACTCAGCAAGCCAAGGAGGACACCAAGGATGATTTGATTTATTGTATCTCTGAAACAAAACTTGAGAAAGTTTTACCTTTCAGCATATACAGGTATATCGGGATTCAGACAATAACTCTGAAAGATATTACAGTGACCTTTATTGAAGACACACGAGATAACCAAGTGTGAATAAAATTGTCACTGTCTCAGTGACTTTGTGACAGTGACTTTTATTGAAGTCTCAAAATCTACAACTAGTAAGATCTGCAAGTATTAAGATCTACAACTAGTAAATGATCTACAAGTTCCGAAGTGAAAGTGACTGGAAAAGCTAGAGAGATTTAGCCAAATCTGAAATTAAAATTAACCTAAACTTCTTATCAAAATAAATCGTAATTACAGTTTGTCAAGTGGTCTCGAAGATCAGATATATACCAAAAAATAAAATACAATTTAAATCAATTTGAAACGATGAGTACAATAAATTAAGCTTGGCTAGCTATATGTCGATTATTATATTGTAACTGTTGATGGTCTCTCACCTGACCGAGAGATCGCCAAGTTCAATTCAATAAAAAAAACTTTAAGCAGTATATCAATCGTTGGTATTTGATCTACGACAGCACTTGACTTACCTAAACATATAGATATTAATACTCTGTACAAATTTAAATAAAACTCGAAGATTCTTCCGGATATATATAAGTTTCTTTATCAGAGTTATTACTTGAACTCGAGGTTGCGGGTCTATAAGCCCTTCAACTGTAGTAACACACTAACGGGATTAGCACGTAGAGAGTTAGTGTATTACTCCCGTCGAAGGACTGATAAACCCAAAATCTTGAGTTCAAGTAATAAAAAACTGATGAAGAAACTTATCCCCGAAATCTTCAATTATATTTACCTAAAATTTTCAATTCTCATTTACCTAACCTGAACTTCTTCTTTCTTATCTCCACTTAATGATATTAGGGTATCAAGCCTGTATAGCTTGATTTTTGATGGTGTCTACTGGGGATGAGTAGAGCTCATCAAAGACTATTTGACATCCATCATGATTGGGTGAAGTAGAATGTGCCTACTTTTGTCATTTAGACTAAGAGTACTACTCAGTAGCAGACCGACTTAGCTCCAATATGAAATGGCTGTCTCTGACATGAGGAACAGACATCATGTACAGCAGCTCCTAACATGGAGTACAGACTCATCCTGTATCTTTGTATTAGAGCTCTTACAGGGTACTATTAGCTGAGCCCAGTTTTTTAGCAAGCTTGTTACTGCTTTCCCTCCTCCTTTTTCATCCGGGCTTAGGACCGGCTCTGAACCTAACATAATCAACCTAATCTAAAGTGAAAATTTGACCTATTCAGATTAGATTTGATTTCGGAGATATGGCCAAATCTCTCCCAAATTGCCACTTAGAAAGAGAAGTGACGGAACAAGACTCAAGCCATCTACAGATCAACATGAGAAGCGAACAATACGCCATAGCAACTTTGTAAACCACCAATACAGAAGACAGTCCCATTGTGACGTGACAATGGGAAACGAGGTTTTTGCGAGAGTGGTCTAATGAGAGAGGAACGACTACGGTCAGCAGGCTGGGATTGTCCCCTGAGATAAGATCTTAGAAATTAATCACTTCCATTGTAGGGGCCCTTGCACTTGCTCTGCAATGGTAATTGTCATGGGTGGCAATTTCTGTTTTATGGATTGACTGACTAATTGGCAGCTTATTCTGGAAACCGAAGAACCATTTTGACAGGGTACTCTTGGAGAGGTGC